GCAACAGGGTTTACAAGCCAAAAGCCTACATCAATGAATGAGCCCCACAACCCTTGTTATAATCATGTGAGGCCTCGGGGCCCTAAAACCCTAAATCCTAGACTCTTATGAACCCTAAGCTCCAACCCCTAATCTAAACCCGACCTAAGCAGCAACACGCCTCCTCTTCCACAGCTTGTTGCTTTGCCTCTTTCAGCCGCTGGATCTCAACAGTAAGCGCCTGCCGTTGCCGGTTGAGGGTTTAGCAGTTTAAGGGTTTAGGGTTTTGGGATTAAGGCTTAGGGGTTAGGGTTTAGTGTGTGAAGGGGGTTTGGGTTTAGGATTTAGGTTTTGCGTTTAGGAGTTTAGGGTGTAGAGGCTTAGGGTTTAGGGGGGGAATACGTTGGGCATAAGTCTAGGGCGCTGAGCGTGTCTGGGGACATTGTCACAAACATACTACCGTAGGCAACTCCTTGCCTCCTGCGGCGTTGCTGAGCTGGCTGGCCCGAAAAAGGTTGCTGGCCTTTCGATGATGATAGGATTATGGAAAAATTGAAGATTCCAAAGGCGCCCTCTTCAGTTTGCTAAAATTACTTGGCATGCCTTTTTGGTGGGACATGAAACTCGTGGATGTCGGCCGGCTTTCTCGCCAGGAAGGATACTTGCTACTCCAGGGCGTGGGTCCAAGCCGGAGTACGGCGTGGGAATGCTTCTCGAAGCGGCGGCCAGCTGGCATCCGTGCTTTTCCAGGATGAAACTCTTTGTCACCTGCGTAAAACCAATTTTCGGGCCAGTAGTATACATAGGTAAAGACGCACGGACAGGACCTCGAGATATGTGTCCCAATGCGCGCAGCTGGCAAGTGGGAATTAACGCTTAAACCGCAAACCCCAGTGTCTTCTCGCTCGCACTCCAATCCCCAAACCCTAAACCCTAAAATCCTAAACTCTGAGCTCTCAAAGCTTAGGCTTGGACCACAAGATGCAATAAAAACCCGTAAAGCCGACTCACTGATCAACCCTGCATTCTTAGACCGAAGAGCTACATGCCCAAAGCCGTATCATGCCAAAAACTGAACCCCTACACCCAAAACGCACTAAGCAATGCGATCAAAGACCCCAAGCCCTAGACCCTGGAACCCTAAGCACTGTCAGCCCCAAACCTCAAGCACCGCAAAACCTACACGCCGACCCTGACATAATTCGCATAGGACCTGAGAGGTCGCACTAATGTAGGGGTATAAGGTATAATAGTTAGAAGAGAGGTTTGGGACATGTTATACTGTATTTAATAACAAGGAACCCCCAAAATAGTATAGGCAATTGTTTCGGCCCCTATATCACCCAAACTAGGGTTTTCGAACCCAAATACTACAAAATGGTGGAGCATAGTGTCTACCATTTGTTCCGCAGTTCTGGGTAGTTCTCCAAATTAGGATCCCTCTTTGGGTACGGCAGCCCTATAAGAAGGAGCCTGAGAAGGGACCCCTATTTAGAGAACTACCCTTAATCTTACTTCCCCAAAAGGTCAGAGAAATAAAGGGTTTAACTTCAGACTACTACTAAAACATAAGAACCCAAAAAAGTTTAAAGCTTGGGTATTGAGGAACTGAGTAATTATAGTGACCGCACGGCAACTCCGAGACCAAAAGACAAAAATCCAAGGCCAAGCGCCCTGACTCGATGCCGCTAAATACCTTAAGGACGAAATGAAGCCTAAAAGGGTTTAGGGTTTAGGGTTTAGGGACGAGGTTGATGCACCATGTAGGGATTCATGGTATAAGGGTATAGAGCCCCGACTTTTAAGGGTCATTCCGTCCTTAAGGTACCCGAAACAGTGGTTCAAACCCGATGCACCCTCACAGGTCCTGACTTAAACACCTAAAACATCTTCGAACCCCCTCCTCGAAATGCCCTAGAACCCCATAATCAGTCAAGCTGCAGACTAAACCACCTTAGAGCCGCTCCCGCCCTAAACCTCAAACCCTAAATCTAAACCCTATAAACCCTAACTTTAACACCTAAACCTTAAACCCTTCATTTAAAACCCTAAACCCTGCCACCTGAGAGCACCGCCCCAACCCTGATAGTATCCGACCTCGCGCTGTTGCTCGCTGAGCGGGGCATCTTTCACCTGGTGTTCTTTCGACTTTGTTTGGAAGGACCTAATATAGGGGCATTCAAATTCAGAATTGGAATCGTTTAGAGTGTTCCTTGAAAGGGATACTGTCAGGGCTACTGTATATAAGGGCACTGTAGTTAGAATAGGGCTTTGGGGTATATTATACTGAAGTTTTAATAAAACTAAGGAACCCCCCCAAAAAATAGGATTAATAGTTCTTTGAGCCCCTATCCAGACTACGGTCACATGTAGGTAGTTCTCTAAATTAGGGTCCGTTCTTTGGGGTCATTTTATGCGGGTGCCGTACTATATTGGGGACCTGAAAAGGGCCCTTATAATTTGGAGAACTACAAATGTGTCTTTTGTTCGTGTCTTTCACGTTGAGTGTGCAGTGTGCAGCTGAAGACGAGCACAGCTCACGAAGACCCGAGCTTCACCATGGCGCGCGTGCGAAGAAAACCCAAAATCCTAGAGCCGAAGCCGGGGATCCCAAACAAACACGAGGACACAAAGCATTCTCCACATGGAGCCCTTATGACTTTCGTGCTGTAGGACTGTAGGTTTCAGGGAGATACTTAACCATATATATGATCCCGGTTCGGCCGGCCCCCCCCCCCTCCCCCCCCAATGGTTCCTCCTCCCCCTCCCTGTGGTGTGGTGTGGTTGTGGGTTGCTTCCCCCTCCCTGTGGTGGTGTCTTGTGGTTGGGGAGTGGGTCTGCTTAGGCTGGTTCCCCCACTCCCCCC